AAGAAAAGGATTTCTGATTCCATATCCTGTTGGAACTGCCTTCAACTTTTATTAATGGTCTGAACAGCTTAACACTATGGACAGCACAGATACATATAAAATCCTGCTACATGGTGTACATATATATACGTGTACACACCCATTGTTAATTCTAGCTGGAAATGCAACATACAAACCTTCTGGAAAAGAAAAGAGAGAGAAGAAAGAGAGAAAAAGAGAGAGAAGCTCTCAACAAGAGAACGTCAGCCAAACACTGTCCATTCCAGCCTGACCAAGAACCTGACCAAAGTGCACACAGCTCAGAAGCATATTCAACTTACTGCCATGTTTAGCTTCATGCTGTGGGCTCTAGTTCTATATATTCAACAAAAATAATCCACTAGCTTTCCAGCATAAGCATTGAGGAATAATGGCAAAAAACCCTAACAAACTGAGATGTATGATCAGTTGTTGACAGTGCAGCAACCTGCAACAAAGCAGCAGAGCAAAAGGGCTCTTTGAACATCTGCATACTTAAACACAAGGTAACTTAGCTGTTACGTTTGTTCTCTCTGAAATTCTTATTAACTCATTTGGTAACCACAGATGCAGGGCACATGCCATCTGCTGGCAATACAGTGCCATATACTCCATTAGCTGAAAAACCTCCTGAAGAATTGAAGAGCTCCCAAGCTTCTGTTATAAAGCTTCACAACAGGCAGCTTGCTTTCTTCATTACAGGTATTTTGAAAATTTCACAATATTTTTTCCTGCAGTTAAATGCATTCTGGTAAACATATGTTTATACATGAGAATCTAAGTTTTCCCACTGTCTTTGCAAGTTGAAAAGGTTTTGAGAAAGACATTCTAATTCAGCTATTTCCCTTGATTATGTAGTGTTTTCCCTCTTCACCTTCCTTTTTCAGCTTATCTCTTCAGTCAGTACAATCAGAAACTAATTACCTCAGTAATCTGGGCTGGATCTGATCACAAACACTGACAAAAAATATAAATACAGCTTAAAGTAAAACAAATCCACATTGGACACAAAGTAACTTTTTTGAAAAACAGGGTAGTGAAACACTAGAACAAATAATGAGTGTTGTGGGCTGTTGTCAATGGCAATTTCTAATTTGAAAGTGAATGTCTTTCTAAGAAATGTCCCAGCTTTAAGAATCCATTCAGGGAAGAAACCTGTCCCACCTGATGACTAAAGGAACACTATGGTCCCCTTTCTTGTTTATTTAGAAGGACATGTGCTATGCTAACCTCAAAAATAAAGAAAAAGGAGTCACGAAAAGCAATTTTAAATTGTGTTAGCCTTTTTCCAGTTGTGGTTGCAAAACAGTGCTAATGTGATTCATAGAATGGAAAGAATTCCCAATGCATCATCATTTTTTAAGCTGTTCAACAGATGCCAAGTTTAAAGTTATCCCCTTCTCTTTGATATAGTGAGTTCTTCTGCTATTGGTTTAAAATTTAATGCATCCTACATTCAGACTCTAAATAAAACCACAATACAGTAAATAACTAAACTATGGTTAGCTAACAGAAAAAAGCCTGCTAGCAGTAAACTCCAAGCAGTAAATTGTGATGACAAGGCTCCTATTTAAGAAGCAAAGACAAATGATGTGATTTAGCAAAAAAATATTCCAATCCTCTTTTTGGTGAGGGGCAGAGAATGAAGCTATTGAGAGATGGTGAGAAGAAAGCAAGTCCTAGAAAAAAAAGTGAAAACTGTTACCCTTTTAAAGGGGTAATGAATTTTTACTAATTTAGGAACAAAAATTCTGAAGGATAGGACATTGGCATTGAAATAATTACCTAAAGATGAGGTAGAGTCTCCAAATTTTCAAGAATAAGGCAGCAAACATCTGCTGGGAATAACATACACATAGTGATCCTGGCTTAGAATAAAGAAACACAATAGATGGTTTCTTGGAAGTTTCTTCCAGCCCTATTATTCTTTGGTGCCAGCTATGACTAAGGCTTAAAGTTTGGCGAAGAGAAGAAAATAGATATTCTAACATTTTGTTCCTAAACAGCAAATAAAGAACATTCCAGTACTGGCCAACTAAAATGTTACTCCAGATACTCAGCTGCCACTTGTACTGCTTTTTTCCCCATATTACACCAAAGCTCCCAGGACTCGGTCTTCCTTGCAAAATAAAATCCCTCTATTTTAACCTCTTTCTTAGTTCTAAAATCCAAGGCATTCAAACACAAGTCAAGGGATTTCTCTAATCTCCTTGGCCATAGCCACACAGATGCCTTTGCCGTAATTAGCTGCAGCTTAGTACTGAACTACAATTTTGTCAAAATACAGTCACTACAAAGCAAAACAAGGTTTTTACCTATAAAGATTGTGACATGCCTGTTTCGGTGTAAGAACCCCCTTAAAGCTCTATTTGATGGGCCACTGCTTACAGGGCAATTATGTAGTTCAGCACAGTTGCAGTTCAGAGAGGTTTTACCCACAGGGATGTCCCGTCCTGCCCGTATGCCTCCTGAGCAAACGCTGTGAAATAGCTCGGCTCAAGTGCAATCCGGCAGAGGCTGCTTGCCCTTGCACCTCCTGCAAGTCTCGCACGATTCTGCCTACGCCATAAGCTTCAGCTTGTTCCCCAAAGGCAGATATGGGAGCCTTATCTTTTATTCTTCTCAGCGATGTTTCTTATTGGGAAGGCTTCTAATCAGAGCCGTAATCTCCATTTTTGTAAAGGAATAATTTACCTAAAAGCAAGAGCTATCATGACACACTGGTACCTTTAACAATCCAACAGATGAGCATATGGGGCAGCCCATGGGTGAAAGGAAAAATAAGCGATACATTGTGGAATCTGTAAAATAGAGGAGATTTGGTGGAACCACATTTTATGTTTGGAAGAAGATGACATAGAGAGATACATAATAAACTGAAGTACAATTTTCAAGTGTGTCTGGAGAAATGACAACATTCAAGTCCTTTACAAAAGGGACTTTAGGGGAAACTTCTGACTTTCAAGTCCTGGCTCTGTTACATGTATATTTTAGTTGTAGGAAGATTTCTACTTTGCAGTAACAGTCTTTTCCTGCAGTAAATTCTGTCATTTCTTAATCGATTATTCAGCCCAGTGATTTTGGTGCTATACTTTATTCCATGCAGAGAAAATTACAGGAGGAAGATCAAACTGTTGCTGGAAGTTAAATAAGCACAGCCTGAAGACCTCCATTAGCCAGAATAGTTTCTGCTAACACGGAACCACTGTGTCTGCATCCTGACAGATTTTCTGTTCCACTGCAGGCTTTGGACAGCGCTGTGGAAATGGCACACAGGGTTAGTGTGTGGACAAAGACCCCTGAAAGGTATTTGTTTTGGAATGGGTTGCTAGACACTTCAGATAGCTAACTTTGATTCCTGGAGTCAGATGTATGAATGTAGGACAGATGAACCCTGCCTGTTGTATTGTCTTTAGCCACAAGGAAACAGAAATACTGGTCTGAGACTAGAGTTCTTTGGAAATTATTTGTGACTTGTGATGTTTTGGAAGTTTTCTGAATTGCTGCTGGCCACTACGACATGAACACCTGTCAACAATGCTTTATGCACAACCAGTATGACAAAGTATAATAGGAGGCCTGCACAGATGGACAACTGAAGAGCATTAACATCAACCGACCATGCAAGTAACGCTCTGCTTCGCTCCCCAGCGTGTGCTTGAAGTCAGAATACTTACCGTTCTAGAAGCCATACTAAGCTACTTGTATCTACCCTCACAGTAACACAGACGATAAAACAATTCTATGAAAAGTTCTTGCTTGTGAGCAAAACCTTCATTAATGCATCTCACAACCAGAATTCTCAAGTATTTGACCAATTACTAACATCAAAGAACATGAAAATTATAGTCTTAGGCCAGAAGTATAATAAATAGAAGGGACAAGTTACCTTGAAGCTATAACCTTGATCTACAAGAAACCGTTGTCGCTTCGTTGAATATGCCATTTCCTGAGTGTCTTGGGATACAAGAGAATAAAAAAAGGCATTGTATTCTTCTGCAACCATGCCTAGGAGACAAAGACACTGAGTAATTAGTTCCATTTGGAACTGGCAACCAAGAACAAAAAAAGGACTGAATACTGAAAACAGGTGTTCAAATAAGATGTCTCTCCACAAAAAACAATCTGCAAAGTTTAGCTGCACCCAGACCTTAAACTGATCCATGACATACACAACATGGAAATTCCTTCTCTTGCTCTTAATAACTTGAGAATGGGTGAAAAGGAAAAAAACAGAAAAGGAAATGTAGACTAACACAATTACACTGGAGCTCTGAGAAGAACCTGCTTCTTTATTATGCTAGGCAAGGTGAAAGACAAAAACAATTTTAAGTCTATTATGTAAAGAAGTAATAAAGTGTCAAGAGCAAGGATTGCAACACACGTGAAAAAAGTTCAATAGAAAAAGACAAAGGAAAAGTTTTATCAATGTAAACTGGAGATTGCAGTGCTTTTGCACTAAAAAAGGTGAGAGATATTTAGCTAATAATTCATAGGGCTGTTTGAAGCACGGGATATAACAAGCTGCACATAACTTATTTTTTTTTAAATTTACAGTCCTTAAGGTCTGTTACCCAAACAGCATTGAGTTCTCTTTTTAAACCCCAAGGTTTCACTAGACTTTGTTAATTCACTAAGATGGGTTTTGTATGCATTTTCAAACAAAGCCTCAGCTGTAACAAGCACAAACTGTGCACAGAGTAAGTGTATGCAGATCTTAAGTGCAAGGAGAAAGTGTTTTAAGAATCATTTTTCTAAACAAAAAGCTCCTTGATTATGTTTTGCAAAAACACAACTACCTGGAAACCAAATCCCATTTTTAAAAGAAAGTAAACTGAAGCATCAAAAACATGCTTTCTTGAGACTTGCTTTTTAGAGTAATACTGTTACTTTTTAAAAACGATTTTATGTTAAGGAAATTATCAAGGAATGAAAAAATGAAAGGACCACCAAAGAACAAAACGTTCCTTTTCCTTCAGCTCTTTTGTCCTTTGGAAGTTTTCCCAACACAAAAGCTTTATGGACCCAGGCAATGCTTCATTTTCATTCACTGGTATAGAGGCCTATATTCTCTTTGACTCAAACATAAATCCAAGAAATGTAAAGAAGTATCATTGAACATCCAGTCTCTCTGCAGCTCTGTGGTACCACAATCCAAGATCCAGAGCCCAACAAGCACCTCATTTACCTTTTTTGGCTCTCAGCACTCGTCCCAGTCTTTGAGCCTCCTGTCTTCGAGACCCACCATGGGACGATATCTGAATCAGAACATTGGCTTCTGGCAGATCGAAGGATGTGTCACCTACCTACAACAGAGAAGCAGCCTCTGAGCAGCATCTTATTTCCATACACCATAAACAGAGACCTAATACAACATACACCTTTGTGAGCTGCGATACAAAGTTGTCAAATGCACAACATGCATGTATAACTCACTCTTAAATAAAGTTCACTCTTAAGATGGACACAATGACACACTGAATGTCCTCCTCACCTTGGAAATAAAAATAGTGTTGATTTTTGGATTGTGCTTGAAGTTTTGCAGAATTTGCATTCTTTCTCCTTGTGCAGTAGGACCATATATATAGGGTCTGAAAACAACAGAACATATACAAATTACATCAATTCAAGATTTCTCAATCATTTCTTATGAGGTACTAAGATACCATGGCAGGGAGCGCAGCACACATCTGAATTGATTTAAAAACAAAACAGATTTTGGTGCAGCTTGCACTTTACTTTTGGCTTGTTTGGCTCTTTATGGCAGCTAGTCAGTTGTTTGTGGAACCCCCTGCAGCAACTCAGTCTGCCAGAAATAAATTCTGGCAGTTATAAATGTTTTGCAATTACGTGCACCAATGAAGCTGTAGATCAACAGACTGAATACATTTGCTAAAGCCTACATGAAAGACTGAAGACAGCTGTTAACATAAGAAATTTTTTTCCTCAAATCTACTGAGTTAGCACATTGACAGCTGCAACCTTTGCTTCCTATTTAAACACTTGAAAATCCAGGCCGCTTGATCAATGATATGCTGAGTGTCACAACCTGGTGTTGGATGTTGCGCTGGGAAAAATTATTTTTTGCTTTTGAAGCTAACCCCTGGCCCCTCCTAATACCTTCTGGACCTACTGAAATGAGAACAACGTTCCATGGCCACAGTGGCACTTCACCTAAGGTTTTTAATGTTTGATGGAAGAATCATTGGGAACATTTAATATCTCTATCCAGAAGGCTCACACAAACTCTCAGTCACCCACAGGCTTCATGAGCAACTTGGACTACTATGAATTTTCCAAGATTCTCTCTCGAGTCTGGCTGTTTTCTTCCTGCCTAAGCAGAGTTTGGTTTTTCTGCGGGGTGTTGGGTTTGTTTTGTTTTGTTTTTTGTTTTTTTAAAAAAGAAGCTAGAAATGGGAAAGCCCACAAAAAATGAGAGGCGTACAGGAGTGCACAGCCACTGCTTTTTCATCTGTTGCGCTACTTTTCCAAATGCTTGTTAACAACCACCTCCAAAACCAGGAATCAAGTTCTACAATTTCTATTTTGTTCACACTTCCATACGTTATTTCTAAGACAAGGAACCAATCTCAAATGTTTCATTTAACTTTTAATACTGCACAAACACAGGTGGTAGCTGGACATAAACACGCAGTGCACAGTACTAAGGTTTTCTATTTTTATCAACTAACTCTTGTGCGTTGATGCCTCTTGCTTTCTTTACGACGAACTTTATTCTAGTTTTTCTTTTACCAAACAATCCTAATCACCTGTAATCTAATTATTCTATTTAGCATAACCAGATTTCTAGAAAAACACAGCTAAAAAATGAAAGTGGCAAATGAGTCAACTCTGAAACAATAACACTATTATTTGATCAGTAGCATTCAGTAATATTTTAAGCCTTATTTGAAATTTCATTTAATATTTAAATTGTGATTATTTTAATCCCCAACAAAACTTAAATGGATAATTTAAACAGAAACTAAAATTAAAGCATTTGTGAGCCTTCTATTTCTTAAGGCCACCAAGTAATGGTTCAAACACTTTTTTTTTTTTTTAAGAACAGGATAACCTAGAACTCCTGGCTACCTATCCTCTATTTCACCTGCCCTGGTACCTTCCTGAACTGAGAATATCCAATACTAGATTTTTTTTTTTAAAATGACCCCTTTATCTCATTGCAAAAAGGTATTTGAGGGATTGCAAAGACAGATCCCTCTCCCGTTAACTGACGTAACTGTCAAAAACAGCGAGACACAGTCCTTCAGAAACAGTTATTTAAACATACCAATAACACCAGGAAAAGCCAGTCAGCACATGAACTATACGACACTGGATGACAGACTCATGACAGAGTAAAAGCTGGCTGTGCAAGCTTGAATTCTGTGGCCCCAAAAATTATAGTCAAAATAACTCCTGCTATCATGTGCATGGTGTTTCCCTGCTGGTACCAGGGGAAGGGGGGCAAGGGAGGAGCTGACAGAGACAGCTGCTCTCTCCTCCTCACACACAGCTCCCCTTGTTTCAGCACACTCACAGCAAACTATGATAGAAACGTCTCTGGTTAAAATAAAGACTCCCTCACCTTCATCCAGCGCTGCAAGCCTCCTTTCTGGCTAACACTGACAGCTGTACAACCTGGAGCTCCGTATGTAATGTGAGGAATGAGAATTCACTCAAGAACATGAAAAGCAAGCACCTAATATTTCCTCATCTGGTTTTCCTGCCATGCTCTACAGCATCAACCCCACTTAACAACTGTTTTGCTACTTAGCAAGCACCTCCTCCCAGCATCGCCTTTGGTAAAGGCTTTTTCTGTGATGCACTAAACGCTGCTTAGGGACATTCCAGAGGCAGCATTACAGCTAATCTCTGTCCAGACAGATTTAAAAAAATGATGAAAGAGACCACGGGTGTTGGAATTCATCCAGCACCATTAGCTCTGCTTACTATTTGATGTCACAGCAAGTCAGCACAACATGGCTGTTAACTACAGTCAAAAATGATCGTGAATTTTGGCAAATCTAAGGCTTGTTTGTGGTTTTGCTAAGAAGTACTGCTGAAATTCCTACACATGAAAATGCCCCACAGCTTCCAGCAAGCAACATGTTATTTGGGCTTGTCAAAGTATGAGGCCAGTTTCTACACTTATTTTCCCCAAGAACTGCTCTACATGTGATCCTGGCAAATACTCTCTCTGATCATCCCTCCGCAATTCTTACAAACACACTGATGCTAACCCCTCACTAAACTCTATGTGTACAACCTTCCGTAACTGCACTCATGTTAGAGTCATTTAAAGTGGCCAAGGAGCTCACAGGAGCAGCATCCTTTCATTTATTAAATGATTACAGTAGTTCTAGGCAGTGCACTGGTACAGCACGGATCCCAAAAAAGTTTGTCTTAGTTTTTTAGAAAAGGTGAAGACCTTTGAAGTACGTGAAGAGGAATGCCCTGAGTCCCAAAAGATCCAGAGAGCATATATTTGAAAACCTTTGTCTCAGAGAGACAAGGGGAAGCTACCACCCGTTAAAAAAATACTACTAGTCATATTTTTAAAAGTCCCTCATTTTTCCACTGGCTTTTAATAACAATAAAATAGATGGAGAAATACTAACGGTCTTTCACAGAAATCTTGGATGAAAACTCCTCTGAGGCAACTGCTTAACAGAGATTCTTTTCAAACAGTTCTACACCACAATGACGTTGCAGCATCAAAAAAATCTGCTCAAAAAATACCCTCCCGAGCTCCTTTTCATACAGGAGGATTGGAGTTAAACCAAAGTATTACAAGAAATATCTAAAGACTACTAAAAGCTGCAAGATTACAAGGCAATTTTCCAGGAAGGAGGAAAACAACAGAGCCATCGTTGGTTGCAAACACTTACTTCCCAAGTCTGATTGCATACTCCTTCAGTGCAAACACATTGTCAGCAAATACAATGATCTTATCATTCCGTCGCTCATGAAACTTAATAAGGAACTGGCAGGCTCTGAATTTATTTGGGTTCATGGTGTACAGCAGTATCCGTTTCTTTGTTTTGATAGCTACATATTCTCTGTAAAATTCAGGTGACATTGGGCACCAAACCTAGAATAAAACACATACACACACGCACACACAAAGTAACCCTCTGTTATTTATTTTGTTCCAGTGGGAACTGAAAAGATATCGGGAGAATGATAATGCATTACGACTTTCCGTATAGCACAGGCCACAGCTTTTAACACACTAATTTCTGTACCAAAATGAAAACTACTGGTTGGTGTAGTCTCCAGCACCGCTGCCAAACTCTGTTTAACCTCATTAATATTCTGGCCTTCAAAAATGCTTTGGCAGGGAGATCCATGACAGAAATAGGCAGTGGGAGTGGAACAAGACTGGAAGACGTTTCCTTTATGTTTCATACGCAATAATTTGACTGAATGCTGCTACTGTTTACAGAGCAATAATTAAGGGAATGAACTGTCTCTGTAATCTCCCTGTCACAGCAGTCAAAGCTTTTTCCATAAAAATTGATTTTTATCCATATTCTGAAAGCTGAGACACACATTTAGTCTTCATTACAGAACAAATTTACCAATCTTTTCTTCATATACCCACAAAGGAGTGACCTTTATTTTAACAGCTATTGAGTCTACAAATTTGAAAACACTGGGATTGATTAGAAGTTTTCAATAGTTTTCCCAAAGCAATTATTTCATTATGTAAACACATATAGTACTGCAGAAGTCTAGGCTTACTAAGATATATTTGCTACTGTAGCATGAAAATAGAAGAAATTATGAAGTTTAAAAGTTTATGCCAGTGAAATAACACTATCTATATTGCACATAATTTAGAAGACATTAATTCTGCTGCACATGGGTTATTGCCGCATACCCATTGCACAGTACGAATTAACACAATACTGCAAAGAAAAGCCCCTTTTGTAACCATCGTTCAGCTAAGGAAGTTAGGTGACAATTTACAGGAGTTTATTTAAACAACCTGAATTGTTCTGTACTGTTAAGAACTAATTTTTGTTTCAAAATGTTTTTTCCAGTGAGTTAAGTGCTAGATGAGGCTTTTTTCATCCCTTGACTACATTAACAATAAACTTAGGCATTGAATAGGCCCCGTTGTTATTGTATGCTGTCTACAGGAAAGATTTAAAATTCTTAAATGAGAAGAGAGTATTTCAAAGTGAGAATGAGATATGAATACTGAACATTTGATTGTAGTAAAATAATTCATGTATTGCTCAATGCCTCTGAATACATGGCAAACTGAATATATTTTAATTTGTATTTGTACTCTCTTCTGGAATTGAAAATGGATAAAATCTGCTTCTCACCCCAATGATTTTTACATTATGTAAGACGCGCACTCCAAGCCAAAAAATCAGTATGGCAGCTGGGAAAGAGGTTATTTCTAAATTACAAAACTCTGAAAACATAATTAAAGAACAGGCTTGTTGGTTTTGGTGTTTTTTTTTTTTTTTTTTTTGGGGGGGGGGGGGGGGGGGGGGGTTTTTTTAAACTTCTTTTAACTTTTTAAACTGTGCTGCTTGTTCTCTTTTAGAGCAGCGAAAGAACAGTACCTTCAGTGACCATGACCTGCTTTATCAGACAGCAGCACTGCCCTCTCTTGCCACCTGGAAAGAACTGCACTTATAGAGCAAACCAGACATCTTTTTCGGCTAGGGGGAATATGGCAAGTTGATTAAAGATCCTACTTCTCAACAACATGGTGAGAAAATTCAAACAAACATGCAATGCAGTTGTGCATGTATTAGACTTGTTATTTATCAGCCATCAACATTGGCTGCTTTGATTCTTTGCTTTTGGTATTCCCATCGAATGTTATTTCAAAACATTGGTGTAAAGACTCTAAACATGCAGAATTTTCACCTCATTCAGAAGAAAGGTAGCCCATGCTCCACTTTTCAATGTCTAAAGGGCAGTTTAAGGACTGAGAAGAATTACGCTCCCAAGGCAAAATTAACCAAAGTGTTCAAACAGTCACATTTGAATTTGCAGACTGGTTACTCTCCCTTCAACCCAGTTATTTTCAAGATGCTCTTCACCTGCATTCTATTACTTAAAAATCATTGTGGGTTTTTTCTTTTTACAACCTCCAATTTGCACAAAGTTCAAACAGAGAACAGCTGATCTGCATCTGCATTTTTTATTCCAGTACCAGAGCAAGGAAGAATTGCATGGAACTAGCAAGACTTGTTTAAAAAAATCCCACAAAACCAAACAAAAACAAACACCAGCAACCAAGAACAAAAAACAACACAAAAACCCCCACAAACAATGAAAAATAAACAAACAAGAAAGCAAAAGCCCCCAGGAAAAACCGAGGAGACAGTTAAGTTATGAAACTCTACCACAGCACGTAGCTGCTAAAACTTTATTTCCATTCAATGGGAGTCCGGACAAGTTTATGAAAAAGAAACCCACTGATGGTTACACAGAAACCAGGTAGAGCTCATAAACAATTGAGGGCTTGAAGAAGTGTCACGAGAAGCAACATATATTTGCCCTGTTTTTACACTGGTCCCTAAGTATCATCCTTGACAATTATCAGAGACATTGTATTAAGTGAGACTGTTAGTCTGATCCAGAAAGGTTCCTTTAATGTTCTAATGCTCCTGTGTGAAAGCAGTGTTTCCCCTGCTCTGATACCAGACTTTTCTCTCATCCATATGCTGGAAAGATCAGAGGTCACGCACCATTATATTGGTAAAAAACAGTAAGATCCAGTCCTATGTTCGCAATTTTCACACTCATGCATTCAGGCTTGAAATAAGCAGGTGTTTTCTCATGTTTTCTAAACTTTCTACTATCCTTGTTTTAAGAGTTACAAGAGTTTTCCTCAAACAACTACAGACTGTCCACCAACAGAAGTCTCTAAAAAGTAGCTTCCAGCATACCACCTGATATCATGGTCATCATGACACGATGTTACACTACCAGAGACCTGAGCTTAAGATATGAAGTCAAGTCAGACAACATGAATGTCAACTGCACTGAACTAGGTCTACAATACTGCAACTACCGTTCACGTTTCCAAATGCTGACGTGGAGACAGCCGATCAGGCATGGCAATCCCCACAAAGAGAAAGAGTGCTGAAGTCACTCGGAATAACACATGGCTACTGGATTTCCCACATGTTCCTAATAACCAGCAACAGCCTGGCCTAAGCTACAAAGTAAACAAAAAGTCACAAGGGCACTTGTTTTTCCCAGTTACATATTTACAATTTTATACATCTTCCTTAAAAAAAAAAAAAAAGGAAAAAAAGGGTTATAAGCACACTAAATAAACACTAGTAGTACCAAAAAGCAGAGCATCACCTCAGCACACTGGACTTTAGCAATGTAGCCACTGTTCTGTAGCTCCATCCAGTTGGCTTCATAGAGCTTTGGTCCAATCAGGAAGTTCAGGTCAACAATTTTATCATCTTCTCTGACCAGGGTAGCAGTCAGCCCCAGTTTACAGTGAGCTTGGACAATAGTGAGCACACGTCTGAACATTTTTGCTAAGAAATGCAAGACAAATTTTCTGTTTACTTTCCTGAATGGATTTAGAAGACAAACACTGCAACTTAAAAAACCACTTTCATCAACTCCTGAACACAAAGCAAGCACAGTACCCTGTTTCACATACACTTCTAACAAATCTGTTACAGCAAAACTTCACACTGGTTGCAACTTTACTTTACATCTTCAGTGTGCTCTGAAAATCCCCGTAAACCTTCTGGCATCTGTATTATTTCCCAAGAGAAAATTAATATACCCAGAGGTTACATGGCTTAGTTTAGGTCATATTTCACAGAAAGAACAATGACAGAAGGATGAAAGAATGAGCCTTGGCTGACTGCCACATTCAGGACTTCTAGTATATGGCAGTTACTGATCTTTAGTATTGCTAGAGATCCTGTAATAGCAGAATCTGAAGACAGAGAGAAGATCCTATACCTTAGTTTTTATGAAACCAAGAAAGAACGGAAGTGAAAGAACAGTGGCAGCAATATGCTACTTTGATAAAATGGCAGTTAATCATCAAGGTCTACTTCTGAAATCCATCATTTCTGTAGACACCAAATTATATTCAAATGAAATCGTGAGAACAAGGTAGAGCAGCTAACAGAATCCTGGGTGGTATTTTTAGTCAGGATTATTCCACAGACACTTTTAATACTACATTATTGCTTTCCAACAGCATAGATCTCAATTACACAGTAATTTCAGATACAACAGCTATTTCTGCACAGTAATCACTATGGTAACTCATATTTTACTGAGCAGAAACAGATATTAAATGTTAGCCTACAGTGCTGCTATATTCCCAAAAGAAAAGAAGGCAGATGAGTTCCTCTCCTGTTCAAATCTGTCTACAGCAAAATTATATAAACGTAGTTCAGGTATCTTAAGAGGACTTTATCAGCCTACACAGAAGGAGAAGGCACTTGTATTTTACACTGCCATTACAGAAAACACAGTGTCTAATTTGAAGGATTTCAGAAAACAAATGGTCAGCTAAACTCTGTACTATTGGGGGCGGGGAGGGGGCGGTGAAGTAAAAAAGAAAGTAGAACAAGGCAGTTGACCTGTCTCAAAACCCTAAGCCATGGGTTTAATCACGAAAAAGACAGCAAAAACCCACCACTTCTAAAAGAGCAAAGTAACATTAACAGTGTATGCAACATGAAAGGTTTGCACACCATTTCCTTACCAGGGATAGTATGCACTTCATCAAGTATCATAAGGCCCCACTCTTGACTTTTAAGCCACTCCATTACTCTTTCTGCTTCCCAGGATCTTTTCGTTGTGTGTCCCAACATGGAATATGTGCTGATAGCAATAGAACAGCCAATGGGCTTGTCTTTGGCATCAGAAGTGAACCGACATATCTGACTATCGTCAATGGTGGACCACATCTTGAATTGGGCTTTCCACTGCTCTACAGACACTGCAGAATTCCCAAGGACCAGACACCGCTTGCGGACAGTACAAGCAGCTGTCACTCCAACCAGAGACTTGCCAGCACCTGCAGAGGAAGAAGAGTAATATTCATTAGTCATCTCTCAGATATCACTGGAGTAGGAGGGGGGAAAAAAAAATGAGCAAAGGAAAACAGGAAAACTGTGAGAGGATATGAAATCATCTAAGGGCAAATTCTTCATTCTTTTTCACTATAACAGTTTGAAAGAAATGGAGTATTCACTTCTATAAAACAAGCTGGATTGTCTACTGGACGTGTAACTTCTCTTCTCAAGAAAATCACTCTAAACAACGGCTTTGCCAATTAGGTGCAATAATTTTAATGCTTTCTTAATTTCAAAAGCATGTTAAATTCCAGGTGGCTCCAGAAACCTTCCCCTAGAGGTGATCTATCCCACTGCCCCCATCAGCTATGCTCATTCCCCCACATAGTAAGTCCTTAAATCTTTCCAGTCCTCCTCCACACTTCTTCCAGCACACACTCTCTCAGGCCCTCGATGTATCTCCCGTGTGCCTCCTCCACCCCCAATACCAAGGGCACTGGCATGCAGTCTCCTGTTCTCTCCCTCTTCCATTGTTTCCTTTAAGTTCTCTCCCTTTTCCATTGCTTCCTTTAGGTTGTCCCAATCTGCACATCCCTCATTTCTTTCTCAAGCTCCCCTGCCTAGAACTTGCGTGTGCAAGCTCTTTTCTTCCTTGCCGCCCCCATTACACCATATTTCTATTCCTAGTTCCCCCCCAGACTCTCTATTCCCAGCCAAGGAACAGATGATTCCAATGCCAACAGCTTTACCTTTCACTGGAAGATCAGCAGAGCTGACAGAGGGAACAGGGAAAGCACGAACGGTAACCTGAAGCTACCACAACCCACATCAGTTCTTCAGTCACTGCAGGGATACTGACAGCGCTGTTAAGCAGACTCCTGACAGCTCTATCAACTGGGCTCTCCCTCACCACAGCCTCGCCAAAAACTAACAGGTATCCAGAACAGTCCCTACTACTATCTGAAATCTAAGCAGCTGTCATATTTAGAAAGGACTTTACTACAGGTGAATAAAGAACAAAACCCCTAAAAATCAACCCAGCAATTTACCACATGGCAAGACAATAACACCAGATCTGGCTCGTCCATTTCCAAACATCTTCCTTAGGCTTTTCTCCTGATAGGGCCTGAGGACAGCTGTAGGTTTCAGATCTATATTAATATCAGGATTCACAGAATCATTTCTGAAATCATATTCTGCCAGCAAGGGGTACTCCAAATGGATACAACGCTTTTGAAGTTCTTCAATCATCTCCTGGAGAGGAAACAAAGCGTCTGATGGTAAATTCTTCACATCTGAATTAATTTTTTTTTTCCCCCCAAACAACCAGATTACATAGTACCATGTGAAGTTACATTTATCTTTTACACTCATAAGTCTGCAAGAGTTACAGTTTATTCCAAAAACTTTATTCGTGACCACCCTGCCCCTCCCAAACATTTTATGTAACAGTCGACATTAGAGAGGGCTCTTTAGACAGATGGAAGAACATGACGCATTAATTTCAGATGTGTTGTTTATCTGGCAGTGACTAAACTACACCCTGAAGTCCTGCAACAAAGAGCTGAATAACAGACACAAAAGGTTCTGTGTGTTACACAGAAGGACTATCAAAGCTGCACATCTGTTATGTGGAAAACTTCTATACCTTGGTGATGCAGTTATTCCACCACAACGACAGGCTGACTCAATCACCAAGGTTTAGGTTGTTGAAAATAAACAAAATAGCTATTAAGTTATCTTTTAAAAAAATTTCTGTTTTCCCCTGTGATACATCATTGGAATCACCGAGTCCAAAAACAACTTGAGAAATTTTACAAAAGGTCTCTGAAGGTCAAGCCAGAACTGTGCCCCAACCTCCAGCTATGAAATCAGAACCATCAAGAGTTCCTTCTGCAAATATGAATCCAAAACAAAACCAGAAAAAAAAAACCCAGCCAACCCCAAAACCAACTGTCTTGTGGGTAGCAAAGGAACAATACCCAGTCTGCCACGCCCTCTACTGAAGAGGAAGATCCTAAGATTTTGGAAGGCAAGAGGAAAGAAATGTTTATGACTTCCAGGGATCTCACCTATCAAAGAGCCACAGTACTCTCAGTTCTCACGCTTATTTGCAAGTCCTGGGCACGTTCCCCAAAGCTACAAACGCAGAGACTAAAATACTCGTACCTGCTTGACTTCAAAAGACACTGTCTGCGTTTCCTCCTCCTCCTCCTCATCTTTGTCCATCTGTTCATAAAACTCAAATAAGTCAGCTGGGACATCTGGCTTATTCTGAGCATCTGTGCCCTGGGATGTCGACGGACCAAAGCCACCTTCACTGGATTTGGAAATCTGAAAAAGACAGACAAGAATTTTCACCACGGGTTTTGTTAGAGACACCCCCCCCACAGTCCATCCCCCCCAATTAGGGCTCATTCAGGAGGCACAGATCATTGCTGACAGAACTGAAAGCAACCACTGATACAACGAACAAACAGTAACCCCTCCAAACTACAACAGTTTATCTAACGTTAACTGAATCATATTAAAACATGCCCAAACATACCGCTGATTTACTTGTGAACGTCTCTGTAATGAGCTCTGTTTCTTCACCCTCGGCATTTCTCAGGCGACACTCTCTAATAACATGGTCCTGCAGAAGCTGCTGAATGACATCAGGGTGGGTACTTTCAACAAAATACCTAAAATTAAAGAACAAAGAAAAACGTTTTTATAAACTAATCAAATGAATACCTTACAGGAAGAGTGGCACAAACACTTAAATAAATAGCTATCCCAGATGCGCTCTCAGGTATCTCATCTTGGGGGCGGTAATTTAAAAATAAAGAAATTAAGGTGATCAAAATTTTTAAAAGATGTCTTACACCAAAAGCAACACATACTTTGCAGTTATCCATCCTGCTCAAATGTCCTCTAACATGAGTGGGAAAACTCCAGCAGAACTGCCTGGAGAGCGCTCTCACATACAAGTCTTATTTGTGACACGTGACACTAGTCAATTTTCTGGAGACTACATTGAGGTGAGAATCTGTAAAAACACTGGATGTGGTGGGTTTTGGTCCTGTGGGCAGGACTTTAAAGCTCAAAAGACAAAGCCCCAAAACCTCCAAAACACAACCCATCTAAAAATATAAATTAGTGCATCTTGAAGTTGCTTCTCTCCCTAGAGATTCATCAATAATGATGCTCGTTGGAGATCACAGGTAAAGTTTGAGCCAAAAGAGACCTAAGTCCAAACTAGCATAGGAGAAATCTTTTTCTCACAAACACCTAGGAAGAGGACAAAACCCTGCTAAAAAGCAGCAGCACAAGCAGAGCATTAGATTCTAGTCCTAGGGTTTATCTGTGGCTGTCAGACAACAGAGAACTATGCAGCAGAAATAAAAGGAGAAAGAAAAAGAACACAGGGAAGGTGCAGACGTAGGTTTCATGCTTCTGCTGTCTCCTTCCTTTCCTCTCCTTATGGCAGAATCATAGTTTCAGATAAAATTGATCAGCTCTAACCTAGCTGAGCTCTCAAGGTCCATTCCAACATCACCTTCTATGTTTAAAACAAATCAGATTCAACCCAGGAACAAGCACACACCTCCTGCCAAGGGATTTGCTTATGCTTCCTGAATAACGGATTACAAGGCAGAATACACGAGACTGAAAGACAGTTGTAGAAAAACTTGTCTAATCAGGCTCATGTAAATTCAGAAGGAATACATGAAACAATTATCTAAAAACCTTAAAGATACATTGCGAGTCCAAGCAATAAACAAACAAGCTAGAGTATCAAATTCACAACCTATTTTTAAAAACGTAATGACAACCACTAGTAACTCAGGACAGCCAAAGTGAATTCATTGACTAACGTATTAAACACCTTCAACAATTGACAAAGTCATCTTGTATTGATAGATGCTACACTCAGCCAGGAGCTGGAGGACTCAACAGCTACCAAGACCACTCCTTTACGCACAGCTGCGTGTCTGGAGGACTTCCTCTGCCACACCAGTTAAGAAAGAAGCTGCTTACCTGTTATGTTTCAGTACCAGCTTCACCTTCCCATAGCTGACAGTGCACAGCTACAAATGAACAAGAACAGTCATCAGGAGGTGCAAAACAGCAATTCCAGGTTTGGGATCAAATGCTGCCATGCAGTTCAGGTCTTTGTGGGGAAGCATGCTATCAAAGAACGTTTACTTGCAACATCATTACGCTTATGGAACAAACCTGAAAAGGTGTTTTCAGAAGACGCGCACGCCATCTCACGCAGGAGATCAGTCACAGATATTCAGTTTTCATACCCAATTCCAATCTGCTTCCAAGACTGCAAGAACATACTTGCAGAATAAGGCAGGCTGTGTTTTATAGTGCCCGGCTACTCCAGACTCCTTCCCTCATTCAGTCTTCTTCCAGAGCAAATCTGAGCAAACCCTCCCCACATACAACTCCGAAGGGCTGAAAGTGTGCACACAGACACTTGGGTGTGCTTTTTTTTTTTTAAAGGTATAAACTCCACAAGAGATATACGGTGAAAACAGTACGTGTGCAACAATATACTATAGAAGATGACAAAAAACCAAGATAAAGCCTCTGAAACAGTGACAGAATAGAATAAGGTGATTAAAACCAATGAATAATTAAAAAAAAAATCAATTAAGCAGAGGCAGCAAGAAAGGATTTCACTAGTAGCAGTAGATATATTTCCTATGCCAATAAAATAGCCTTACCTTGATAAACTGAATTATTCCATCTGGGACACCAGTCTTGCTCAGTTTTTGTAAATACTCTGTGATGTCACTTGTTTGTAGGCCAACACTAACAGCAGCGTACAGCGAGTAAGCAGTCAGCTTGTACTCGTGAATGTGGGTTGGTCTGCACACGGGCTCAGCAATGGCAACCAAAAAATCCTGCGCGTATTTGTAAACTGGAGAAAAGGCTTCCAGAAAGATATGGCCATCAGGAGCCTACAGAAGCAAAAAGAAATGCTGAAGGCACAACAGTGTTAGTTGAACAGAATCAGGAAGTTCCTATAAAGCAGCCATTGCGATATAGACGGTCCACCATTTCGGTAGCAACACATCATAGGGTTTCAAAAAAAGCATTTGCCCTAACAACAAAGTTACAAGAAAAAGCCGAAAGGAGACACAGGAACATCCAAATTTTGTCATCTTAAAGGGTTCGGACATTGATTTGTCCATGTCCCTTCTATAGCAGTAAGAATAAACCCCACCCAGGTCGCTGAAGCTTTTCCAGACTGACACACTGGGGTATTTTTTCTTTTTTAACGCTAAGCAAATTGCTCGAGCAGAGGCAAGCTTCCAGCCCTATTCCCCTGAAACAAAACAAAACTCCTCACTCATTTTACATGGAACAAGCAGCACAGGTGATGAAAAATGGCACTTGTGTGTCACAGCAATCAGTAACAGATGCCCTGTGGGCGCTGGCGGGGCAACCACCTCTTCTCTATACCTTGTGCTACTAGCCAAG